TAAAAAAAAAAAAAAAGGGAGGTATATATATGTTTAATGGCATACGAAGGAAAAAAAAAAAAAAAAAAAAAAGAATAAAGGGGAAAAATAATAGAGTGGTACAAATAAAAAACAGAACGAAATAAACTTATATGGAAAAAAAAAAAAAAAAAAAAAAAAAAAGCCGAACCAACCACCCTTTTTGGGAGAAAAAAGGAAAACCCACTTTTTTTTTTTTATCGCCCCAAATTTTACGCCAATTGAAAGGCGCAAAAGCGGCGCTGTGTTACTCCTCATATAAACCCTGCACCGCGAGCTGTAGACTATATATATCCACCCCACACCCATTTGTAGAGTCAAAAAATGCCACGGCCAGGATGGGTGCCGCCACCGCCCATTTATACTACCCCTCAAAAAGAAGTAAAAAACTTCAACCACAAAAAGGAATGGGCAACTGGCCTGACCCCATTTTTTTATGTGGCTTACATATGAGCACTTAGGCCTTGAAAAAAAAAAAAAAAAAAAAAAAATGAAGAAAAAAATGCCAAGCAAAATACATACCTAAGCTGCTATAATTTCAAAATGCGTGCAACATATTTTGTTCATCCGATTACCCATTTGTGCGTTTTAAAGTAGGGTGGGGATTATAGGGTGGCAGCGTGAAGGATCCTCTGGTGGAACCTCAACAAAGGATTCCCTCACCACTCACCCTTTAATTATCCTTACCCGTTCGGGAAGAGCCAAGCGCACACGAAAAACATAAACCATGGGTACACGTTGAAGGTGGAAAAAATAAAAAAGCAGCACAACGCGGTTAGGTAAATGGAGCATGTCATGCCACCCCGTAACGTTGACTTCAGAATGGTTGCAACGACAAGGATGCTACGCCTTCCTTCCTCCTTCGTATGTAAAGTTTCCGCTTTAATGCGGCAACGCTGGTTGGCAGTGACCGGTATAGTCTTTACCGCCCATAAGGCTTCTATCCCGCCCGAACGAGTTACGCATGCACAGTACACATTTTTATGTACACGTATGTCTTTGCATAGCTGCCCATGCGCGAATGATTGATTTACTTGTGCGCGCCGATCATGTATTCACAAAAGAGGGGGCGCATATGGCCGTTGGCACGCGGAGGACAAATTTTAAAAAATGACAAAAAAAAAAAAAACCTTTTTTGTTATGCTACCACATCATGGGGGCTTTTGAAAAAAGAGGTCAGCCGAGACAAAAAAAAAAAAAAAAAAAAGGAGAGGAAGGTCTAATCAACCCAATCCGTGTGAAGGTGTAGGGAAACTCCAAAGCGTATGGCACAGGCAAAAGTCTCCCTAAGCATACTTCCGTATGAGCTCCTTAACTTTCTCATTTTTGTTCGTTTGGACGTATTTCATGTCCATGATATATTTATATTTGAGCTCTTCGTAGTTTTTCTGCAGAGGGGAGAGAGGGATGTGGGGGAGGGGCAAAAAATGTGAAATGGAGGAAAAAAAACGGAATAGTGCATGGGCACATATGAATGAATTGGCTCATGGCGCGTCAGACACGCCCCCCTTTTTTTATTTCTTCCTTTTTTTGCTGGTCACCTTTAATATGTTATGGTTTGTTATTAGTGTAGTGTGCTTGTCCGCCACGACCACCCAGTTCGTGGCCTCGTCGGCCCAGGACTGCAACTGGGACTCCAAGTTCTCAATTTGAATGTTTTTCTCATTAATAATTTTTTCCTTTTCGGTCAACAGGGAGTGCATTTTTATTTGTTCGTCATGCAGCTTGTCCACCATAAGTTCGTAGTTCTTGTCATGTATTTTGTGTACATTTCGGTCCAAATATTTTTTCAGTTTGTCTTCCAGGCATTTTATTTCTTCTTTGTAGTGCTTCACGTTTTTGACGTTGTCGTCTGAGCAAAAAGAAGGGGCAACTGCGGTGCGCAAAATGGACAAAAACAAAGCCCGATGTGGCCACACCCGGCTCGACAAAAAAGACTAAATCATTCCCACATTCTCCTCTTTGTACACACAATAGGGAAACATCCTTTTCTCCCCCTTTGTTACCTTTATCATTGAGTAACTCCAGCAGCTGCGCTCGTTCCTTCTGAAACAGCTTCTCCTTTTCGTCCTGAGTTGTTCAGAAAAAAAAAAAAAAAAAAAAAAAAAAAACAGCCAAATGGAGTGTACATTATGAACAGTTCAGGTATTTTTATAATAATTTTTTTTTTTTTGCCCCCCTTTTGGCTAGCTGATACAAATTTTCCACACGTGCAGAACAGAATGAGCGCGTCTTACCATCATTTGGCTGTTTTTTGTTTCGAATTCTTTCAGGAGGGCATCCTTCTTTGCCAGCTGCGTCGTCAAGTCTTTCATCTTTTTTTCACTTTCGAGAACGCCATTCTTCATGTCCGCGACGCTTTGTGTTATTTTGGCCAAATTGCTATTTAAGCTGCACGGTGAAAGTTAACACATAAAGGGAGGGTTATAACGGACGGAGGGGGTGTAAGGCATGGTCAGAGCATTCGCCCCATAGCAAAAAAATGCGTAACATATTCTTTGCAGCAGCTACACACAGCAGTGTGATATCTCGCACCCACCTTGTAATAATTTCGTTCTTCTTTTGCAACTCGTAGTAGTATTCGTTTTTCTTTTTTACGATGTCCTCTACATTTTTTAGAAGCTCCAATTGCTGCAGCGGGGAAAAGGGGGAACACTCGAGTGTGTCCTTTTCGTGTGTGGTTATTTATATATATATTTGTTCATTCCTTTTTCGCTCCCCAATCTGACTTACCTTCCTCTGGGTGACCATTTGTATTTCCACGCTCTTCTCCTTTTTTATGTATACATTGGCTAAGCTCTCTATTCTGCAGGAGGGGAGGATGAAAATAATAATGCCACACTCATGAGTTGTTCGCGTTTGGCCGAACACGACATCGCCCATGTCCTCCCACTTGTGGAAGGGACCCCTCCTCTTTTGTGTGTCCTCCGCATTACCTCTTCGTCATAACGTGGTTTTCCCCAAACACTTCGGAGAACACATTCTGCGGAATTGGAAAAAAAAAAAAAAAAAAAGTGATAAGCCCTTTTTCGTGTTTCTCCATAGGGCCCATAATGACACATGCATGATGTGTACACAAAGGACGCATCTTCCGAAGCACACGCGAAGCCTTACGTAAAGCTGCTCCATAGCGTTCTCGATGTATTTGTTCTGATGATCCATGTCGTCGTCGGGTATGTCCACCTGATCCTGTTCAGCCAGTTTGAACTTGTGTCTCATGTTCTGGTACCTCTTAACAACTGTGCACTTTTGCTTATAACAGTTTTCTAATTTTTTCATTTTCGTTTTTAATTTTTTCTTACTCTCTTTTAATCGCTTTATTTCTGTTTGAAGCTTCTCATTTTGGCTTAAGAGGATGTCGCTCTGTTGCTTTTCTTTGCCCAGCGTGAGGCAAACTTCCTTCAGGTGCATGGCCAGGCTATTGTTGAGGGTTGCGTCCTTCTCGCTCGACGCTTGCAGGTCGCTCAGCTTCTGTAAAATTTCGGCGATGCTCGAGGGGGCGGGCCCCTCGTCCTGATATCTTTCCTCACGCTTGTTTAATTCCTCATGGCTGCTTTCTTTATTATGGCTTCCGTCTCCATTTCCTTCTGCGAGCTCCCCTCGTACAGAAGTGCCTTCCTGTATGCGAATTGGGTACGCGTAGACACTGATCCCCCTTGACCTATTCAGCTCCTCGAAGTCATTACCGTAAGGGGAATTCATGAGGAGCTTCTCTTCCCCCTTGAGGACACGCTTATGTGAATCCCTCTCGGTTACATCTGTGGACTCTGACTTGAGAGATGCAGAGTAGCCGCATTTTTTATCCTGCGACTTGCGTACACATGAGTCGTTACTCTTGTCTCCTCTTCCACGTCTCTTCCCCTTGTCACCTTTACCTAGGTCTAATTTTAGCAGCTCCATCAGCGCGTTCTTTTTCTTCTTCTTCTCCTCCTGCGTCTCGCTGTTGTGCATCTCGCGGTCGTGCATCTCGCTGTTGTGCACCTCTCCGTCACGCAATTTTGTCTCATTTCTTGCTCCCTCCTTGGAAGTATTTCCCCCTCCTTTCACCGCTCCACTCTGTGCACCCGCGCAGTGCTTTCCGTCCTCTCTCTTCACTGTGCTTTTCTCGCGTGGTGGGTTCTCCACGTTGCGTCTCCTTCCATGTACTACCTTATTCACCAAGGCAAACTTCCCCCCACTCTGTGATTTTCTGCTTCCATTAAGACATTCCTTTTTTGTATCCCTCCCAGCAGCTGCTGTCTTAACATTCTCCACATGCACTTCATCATCGAGAGTCCTCTTTTTAATTAACCCTTTCGCCTTCTCATCATTTGCTTCATCTGCTCCTCTGGTTTTGTCCACCTGAATGCCCCTCCTTACCACGGGGTCGTTGTAGAATGGCGCGTTGGGGGTAACTCCTCCGTTGCTTACTCCACGTTTGTGTTCGCGCTTAATAGGAGCAGTTAAGGCTTCATCGGTATGTCTACCCTTGTTGGGTGCAACCCTAATTTGATTTGCACTCACGCCTTTTCCACTCCAATTATTCCCCTGTTTATTCTGCTCCTGTGTAACTTCCCCCTTTTTATTATCCCCCCGTGTGCTCTCCTCATCCGAGTCGCCTTCAAAAACGTCGCTGCCCATGGAGGAAGAATCATAGGAGCTGTACCTCTCCAACCCATTGCTGCTGATGAGGATTTCCTTTAATGCGTTCTTCGCCTGGTTGGTATTCACGACGGAGGAGAAGGAGCTACTCGTTTCATTCCCCTCAACTTCCGACTGATCCTCCTCCACTTCCTCGCATGACGTATCGCCGAGCCCCTGCTGCCTGACCATTCCTTCATACGTCGACCCACATTCACCTTCTGTGCTTAAGGCCTTCACCCCCTGGCCTTTTCCCACCTCATTAATTTCTTTCCTCTCACACTTCTCCTCCATCATGTAAGGAGGTTCCTTCTCACAGAAACGTCGCTCCTTCACTTCATCTTTTGTCCTTCCACTTGTGGGGGGTACCACTTGTGATGCATTGGTGGACACGCATCTGTTTAAGTTGTGAATTAGCTTTTCTATGTGTTCCTCTGATGGGGCATAATGTTCGCGTACGTCCTCTGATGGGGCAGAATCGTTGCGTACTTCGTCCCAGTCTGCTTCATCCTCGTCTTCGTCGTCCCTCTCCTCTTCCCTTAGGTAGCGGTATGCACTCGTTTCCTGCAACTCACATGCGCCGTGCGGGAGTACCGTTCTTTTCACCAAGCTGTTTGACTCGCTGACCTTCTCTCGGGCATTCCGCTCTCCTCTTGTCTGGTTGGAGGTCAAACTCTCGTCCAAACTCTCCTCCACCGTCTTTATTAATTTCTGCACCTGTCCCCCCGGTTCCTTGCCCTTATCGCTGAGAGACATGCCCAGGCGGTCTCCCCCGATGAGGGACTCCTCTGAGTAGACCTCGTCTGAATCGGCCCCATCTGAAGCAGTCTCATGTGAATCGCCTCCACCTGCGCGATCCCCGCTTAAGTACCCCTCGTCTAGGTATCCTCCCTCGGACGCCGTCTCCTCCGTTTGGCTGTCCTCCACTTGGCTGGCTTCCACTTGGCTGTCCTCCACTTGGCTGGCTTCCACTTGGCTGTCCCCCACTTGGCTGTCCTCCACTTGGCTGTCCTCCACTTGGCTGGCGGCGCTGAGGATATCGCCCACCAGGTCGTCCTCTCCCTCCGCTAGCGCATTCTCTCCCCCCCCCTGCTGCTCTTGTTCGTTCTCCCCCTCCAGGGAGACGTCCGTGGTGAACCTGCCGCGCGTGTTGGCGCACCTGAGGACGTCGCACACGCTGAGGAATAAATGCTTGGGCTTGAGCACGCGCCGGTTCCCACGCAGGAACACATTTTGTACACACTTCAAATTTTTGTACTTTTGTAAAACGGAGCGGAAGTATGAGTAGCAGCCACTCGAGGAGGAGGACAGGAGAGGAGGGGAACACGAAGAAAAGGCATCCTCTGTCCTCATAGCCTTCTCATTATATTGCTTCAGCCAATTTTCATTATCGAGGAGGTAAAACAATTGCACCGGGTGGTTAATCAGATTAGAACGGAGGTCCAACACCTTCAAATTCTTAAACACACTGAGTCCTTTTAAGTTGGTCAATTTATTCCCTCGAAGGTAAAGAGTATCTAAGGAGTTAAAAAATAAAAGCATGACATCCTGCTCAGTCTTATTCGTAATAAAGTCTTTTATGTGTCCCTCATCTGAGTACCCTCCTTCGAGGTTGCCCTGTTCATTCTTTTTGTTAATAATATGTAGGTACCTTTCAAACGTGGTGAGTTTTTTAATCTTGTTAAAGCTCACATCTAGGAATGCCAACCTGTTCAGTGGTAAATCTTTATTCGTGTAAAATACTTTTTCATTTAGTACGTTATTTCTGTAGGTGTCATTGTAAGAAGAACTGGGTGATGAATCCTCTCCTTTCTCTTCCGGGTAAGAAACACGCGTAGGTTGTACACCGCACTTAGGTTTACCCTCCTGTCTCATCTTACCCCCATGGTAAGAATCCCTTTGTACTTCTTTCCCTTCACTACCCCCTGAGAATTTCTTCACCCCCTTAAAACATATGTCTGTGAGGTCGTTATGGTGAGCAATTATTTTTTCGGTGGAAGAGGGGATGAAGTCTCCATCTAACGACTTTAACAAATTGTATGAAATGTTTAAGATCTTCAAATTTTCAAAACAGCTCAATCCTTTTAGTGACCGGATGGAGTTGTGGGATGCGTCTAGGTAGGTCACACTTGTGTAGTCTGCGTTTTGCTCGATCAGCTTTTCCAGGATCAGGTCGGAGTCCTCCAGGCTCCTCAGGTTGCAGTTCGACAGGTCCAGCAGCATCTTACGGTTGTGAAGAGGAATGGGAGAGAGAGTAGCCTTAGCTGAGCGGTAGTAGCCTATAGCGCAACCTCATACGTCTTCGCTAAGCACAAACGTGAACATTCCCAGCGGCCGGGGGGTATTTATATACACGTTTTTGAAAAAACGAATTGTGCGTCCTTTTTAAAAAATGAAATTTCCCGTGTGGGGGCGGGGCGACTTGGCTCACACAATTCGGTTGACAAGGTGCGGGGCTGTGGCACGATTTGACCTGGCCCGTTGCACCGCTAAAGACAACGTGCGCGGCTTCCACCTCCGCGCAAATGGACAATTTTTACAAACAGACAAATTCAATTTAAAATTTGTAAAAACTGGAATACAATATGGCGAACAAGTTTTAATTATAAAATGAAAAAAAAAAAAAAAAAAAATTCAACAAACCAACACAAGTGTGCGCATGCACGAGGGGAATACAACTCTTCGGGGGGAATACGTTCGCGCATTTTTTTTTTTTTTTTTTTTGCGGTGCTCTGGGGGGGAAAACACGGACAAAAAAAAAAAAGCGAAATATACGGGGAAAACGCAGCAACGCAGCAGCGTAGTAGCGCAGCCGGAGGATACGCCCACTGGGGCAACCTTTCCTCTTTTATTTTATATATATATATGTATATATTTTTTGCTCTTCTTTGCGTTATTTTTTTCCCCCCCCCCCCCCGGCGTGTTTGCACAAAAAATATGACCATGTGCAGGTGAAAGGGAGAATGCCGCGGACAAGAATGCATTTAAGTCATTTTAATTGTTTTTTTCTCCCCAATGCTGTCATGTAGGGGTATACACACAAAAGCAGTGAATTAGCCAAACGCAACTCAGACCATCACGCCACTCCTTCGGAATGCCTTCATAAAACATGCAGTTGGCCCTTTACCTCTTAGTGGGAATTCTCTGGGGATGCACAAATGCATTCATGAAAGGCGGATGCGCAAGAGGGGAAAAAGAAAAACAAAAAGGTCTCTTTCGTGACACAATTGGTATGCTGAGCAGTTGGTATGTCGTTGTCCCATATTTGTTTAACCAAGCAGGGTCTGCACTTTATTATTACCTGTTACGGAAGGGCGACATATCTTTGGTAATGCCTCTATGCAATGTCCTTTGCTTTTTTTTCACCTTCCTCACTGAAATGATACTCTTTAAGAGGGCCTTGTCCTTCAAGTCCGTACTTGGCTTGTCCTTCGTGAGCACCGGGCTGTTTCTCTGCCTGGGCGTTTAGGGGAAAGCACAACCAACCAAGGCCACCACACGGTAGGGAAGTACTCGCGCCAGTCTCACCTTAGCAAAACAGATAAAACGTAGAACTGGCTGAGAGGTAACTTGCCGCTTCGCATGAACAGGCATGGATAGTGCGCAGAGAAGGAGCAGAGCAAAACCCCCCCACAAACACGGCTGACACGGATGGCACGGATGACACGCATGACACGCATGACACGGCTGACACGGAAAACACACACAAAAAGAGGAATGTTTCCCCATGCGCAAGTCCACCTTCACCGCAACTTAACACCAAATGGGAAACAGATCCAAAATTGTAATTGCCCTGGGGAACGAAATAAAAAGGGGAGTTACGTCCCAGCAGTGCAAAGGGGACGTCCCCAGAATGTACGTGAATTACCTGCAGCAAAGGTACAACATGGACGAGTGGCACCACGCCAGTAATGTTAACTCTTTCATTTGTGAGAAAAACAACATCATTTTAATCAAACCAGTAACTTCCTTGGAAAAAAACAGTGGACTCGTAATAAAAAATATTTTAAATTATTTAAATTGTGAAGATTTAAAAAATGTGTGCATAATTTTACCTGACTTGTACAGGTCAATTGGCAAATTTAAATACAAAAACTACACCAAAATTTATGAAAAAATGGGCCCAGATTTTTACAACATATTGAATTCAAACATAATTAACAACGTCTTAAATAATAACTTTTTGCAGTTATGTATTGGTGTTAGTAATTATCCAAATGAAATAAAAAATGCCGTTGTGACCACCTTGCAGGAAAGCTTGAGCGATGGTGAGCTGAAAAAAATTTTTAAAACTTTTCAGCTAGCTGATGAATATTTTAATAAAAAAATTATGAACGGCAAGGTGATAACAACCAATTATATTCATCTTAAGGAGAAGTATCCCGCCATGGAGCCTCAGAAGAGCTTCAGGAGGAGCACATCAAGTCGAAGGTACATCCTGGATGTCTATCGCCACATGTACAAGTAGTGCCCTTCAAAATCTGTTTAAAGTGTTAAGGGGTGGAAGAAGGTGTGTGTGGGGTCTTCCTCCGCGCTGTGTGCTTTGATGACCTTCCCGAGTCGCTTTCCCACTTTGTGTTGGTTCGTTTTGACTGTGCAAAGGAGAGAGGCATCGTAGTGGAGCGACCCATCGATCACCTTTCCATGTGCACATGTTCTGTTAGCCATTTTTTCCGTTTGTTTTGCACACTTGAAGTGGCATAAAAAAAAAAATTAAAAAAAAAAAAAAAAAAAAATTACGTGGAAGAGGGGGAGAAAGTTACCGGATGGCAACAAAACAATACATGCAGCTTCTCATCACCACCCCGTTTCATCAGTCATCAGTCCGGGGGAGTAGTGATTAACGTATCCGGGATGCACAAAGCAATGATCACTTGCGCTCTAGAGAAGAACCGGCTTACACCGGCTGTTTATCTCCGCAGTGACCACATCGAACATCTCGTTGATTTTCATACTTATGTCTTCGCATGTTAAGCTCTTAATAAACCCATCGCACTTTATGAGCCAGCTGTAATATTCACTTATGCTGGTGCTCGCCGCTCCTCTCATGTGACTAGCATCCTTCATTAATTTTACAACTTCGTTTGTGTATTTTTTAATTGCGTAATCGCAGTCCTTGAAACTGATTTGTATACTATTGTCTTCTCTTAAGCTGTGCTTTTTATTTTCTATACTTTCTTGCACCCTCCGGATGGAGGAGAGGTAGGTTTCCTCCACGATGTTTGCGCCTTGGCCAGTTTTGCTCATTTTTGTGGGGTGCGCAAAAAAAAAGGGGCGATTGTTGGCGTTGATAGTACGCTGTAATACTACAACCAGGTGCCCACTGGTCAACACTCCGATCTTATAGAGGGAAGGTGTGTGTGTGGGGAGGGGGAAAGACAACCAAGACACAATTGTCTTATACAGCGAATTGGAAAAGGGACAACAATTTTTAAATTGGCTAGCTGGAAAAAAAAAAAAAAAAAAAATGACAAAGTTGTAGGAGAGAAAATAAACTAATTACATTGTGCAGGTCTTTCACTTCTCCGCAAATGGACCCCCACGGAAATGTGGTGATGCGCCACAGTTGGCTATGCCTAACAAGTTTTTTCTTCGAGCGAGGGGACGAAGACAAATATTAAAAAATGAAAAAAAAGGGGGCACTCCACGGTTAACAGTTGGTGTACATACAAACAAAAAAAAAAAATAAAATAAAATAAAATAAATAAACTTATGAGCTGCGTGATTATCGCTGCATAGTGACGTGGATTATGTGTCACTTTATTTTAAGCAGGAGCTTCCGCACCATCCCCTACATTGGCATTGCTATCACTCTTGGCACGTTCCACACTTGCAGAAGCATCTTCTGCACCGGCGCCCGGGTCGTATCGTATGGGTATGCGGCGCCTCTCTCCCTTTTTCTTCTTCGTATTGGCGTATAGAAACGAGTTGTCCTTATAATTTCGCAGCCCCTCCACGATGAGGCAAGCTTTGCACACCGGATTGGACGTGTACACGCCACATCGCATGCACACCTGGAGGACCTTCCTCCTGCTACTGTTGTGATAAAAAAACTCCGAGGAGTGAATAATATTAAGTATGAACTGCGGGTTAATCATCTCGAGGTCTTTTATGAAGCTCCGTAAGTTTCCTCGAAATGAGTTTGGGGAGTAGGTGCACTCGGTGCTGAAGTAGTCGAGCTTTTTGTAAAATGCGTACAGGACGATTTCCTTCTCGTAGCACCACATAAGGGGCTTCAGTCGGGAGAGGAAAAACGGATATTCCTCTGTGGGTGGGGTGGACTCTGCATGGGTGGTAGGGGGAACTTCTATAAGGGCATCTGGGTTGTCTGTTCCACTTGGGGTCCTGTTCGCACGTTCGGGCGCGTCTTCTCCTCGCGTGCATTCGCCGCCGCAACATGTCGTCGCTTCTTCCCCCACCACTGATGCTTCCATTTTCATTAGAGACATGGCGTGCACGCCCTTGGCGAGCTTCTGCAGGTCGCCTCTACACATGTTCATAAGAATCGTTTCTGCCAAATCGTCCGCATTATGCCCCGTCACAAGTTTGGTGGCGTTAAATAATAGTGCACCCCTTTCCATTGCCTGTCTCCGAAATACTCCGCAAACGGTGCAGTTATTCTTCTTGCCAATAAAACTAACAACGGTGTCCATAGTGTAGGTGAAAATATCTTCAAACTTTAAAATTTTAAGAGGCAAATTGTACCTCTCCTGAAGTTTATATACAACCTTTAATGAATCATCTCGGTAACCTTTTATTCCCTCATCGATTGCCAAAAGGAAGAGGTCCCACTTGTAGTTGTGCTTCTGTTTAATGTGAACAAGTACATGTGCTAGGACGCTCGAATCTTTTCCACCTGACACTGCAATGCAGATTTTGTCCTTTTCATGAAACATGTTTTTCTTTATAATTGTTAAGTGAACTTGTTCTTCGAAGTCTTCGGTGAAGCAATCCCTGCAGAGCTTTTTCCTGTTGGAGGGTTTCACCATGGACACATTTTTCTGCCCGCACTCCTCGCAGGGCGGCGCCTGCGTGTACCCCCGGCCGTCCATCCTGCGGTGAAGCGGTGAAGCGGTGTAGCGGTGTAGCGGTGAAGCGGCGAAGCGTGTAGAAACGTAACCGTATAGTAGCTTCGCCGCTTCACCGCTTAACCGCTTCACCGCTTCACCGCTTCGCCGCTTCACCGCTTCTACGGAGTTACCCTCTACGTGGGGTCCTCCACAGCGTTTGCAGGGAAGCCCTAACGCATTATTATACTTATGCGCGCCTCCGCCTTTTTTTTTTCATACGGATGACACGCGGAGAAGGGGGTGCTCAATTTGTCCCTTCCCCCCTCCCTTCTCTGCTGCGTTGCATCCTGTTGACCTTACGCTCATGGAGGGGAACAAACGAAACAGCGTTGGTAAGGAAAAGGAGCGGACAGGACCAAGTTCACGGGGGGGACCAATTTGGGCCGGCTCAAAATTGTCAAGTGAACTGAATTGAAAAGAGCTGTTAGGCCATGCACCGCGGGAAGTGCCCCGACCAGGTGCCCAAAAGCAGGTTGTAAAAATATGTTCCGCAAAAAAAAAGCAGGGCAGCCACAAATTATATAAAAGAGCATAAATAATTAGCAAAATTTAGAAAAAAAAAAAAAAAAAAAAAAAAAAAGTTGAAATAGCTGAATACTCGAA